CAATCACCAGGAGACGGTGAGTTCTAGTCCCGCCTTAGGCATGAAAGCCGGCTGGATGACTTTGGGCCAATCACCAGGAGACGGTGAGTTCTAGTCCCGCCTTAGGCATGAAAGCCGGCTGGGTGACGTTGGGCCAATCACCAGGAGACGGTGAGTTCTAGTCCCGCCTTAGGCATGAAAGCCGGCTGGATGACTTTGGGCCAATCACCAGGAGACGGTGAGTTCTAGTCCCGCCTTAGGCATGAAAGCCGGCTGGGTGACGTTGGGCCAATCACCAGGAGACGGTGAGTTCTAGTCCCGCCTTAGGCATGAAAGCCGGCTGGGTGACGTTGGGCCAATCACCAGGAGACGGTGAGTTCTAGTCCCGCCTTAGGCATGAAAGCCGGCTGGGTGACCTTGGGCTAATCACCAGGAGACGGTGAGTTCTAGTCCCGCCTTAGATACAAAAGCTGGCTGGGTGACTTTGGTTCAGTCCCTCTTTCTCCGAGCCCAACCTACCTGGCAGGGTTGTTGTTGTGCAGAAAACAGGAGGAGGAAGATGTGTGGGATGTGTTCATCCCCTTGGGTTGTTTACGAAGGAGGTAAAAGGTGGAATGCAATTTAAAACCCGGTGTAAAAACTATGCCTTACTGTTGGCTCCCATGCTGTCGGGAATGCTGGTGGGGGTCAAGGTGTTGCGCTGCTGAGGGTTGATGAGCTGACTGACGGAAGGCAGCTTGTTCAGGCCGCCCATCTTCCCAAGCGGAGGAGAATTGGATCCGTAGGAAGGCTGAGCCTGGATGGAGTTCCTGGGAAGAGAGGAAGGAGAAGGGAAGTCCAGGGGAGGCTAGAAAGGAAAAAGCCGGAGGAATTGGCGGCGATGGTGGCCCAGAAGCAGGGTTGGAAGGAGTAAAATAGAATAGAGCTAGAAGGGACCTTGGAGGTCTTCTAGTCCAGCCCCCTGCTCAAGCAGGAGAACCTATACCATCTCAGACAAGTGAGTCTCTAATCTCTTCTTCAAAACCTCCAGTGATGGAGCCCCCACGGTTTCTAGTGGCAAGCTGTTCCACTGGTTAATTGTCCTCACTGTCAGGAAGTTTCTCCTTAATTCCAAGTTGCTTCTCTCCTTGATCAGTTTCCAACCGTTGTTTCTTATTCTGCCTTCAGGGGCTTTGGAGAACAGCTTGACTCCCTCTTCTTTGGGGCACCCCTTGAGATACTGGAATGCTGCTATCACGTACCCCCTATTTCTTCTTTTCTTTAAACTAGCCAAACCCAAGTCCTGCAGCCCTTCTTCCTATGTTTCAGTCTCCAGGCCTTGGATCATCTTAGTTGCTCTTCTCTGAACTTTTTCCAAACTCTCAACATCTTTTTTTGTGATATGGTGACCAAAATTGGCTGCAGTATTCCAGGTGGGGCCTCACTAGGGCTTTATAAAGCGGTACTAATACTTCGCGTGATCTTGATTCTGTGCCTCTCTTTATGCAACCCAGGATTGTGTTAGCTTTTTGGACTGCTGCTGCACACAGCTGTGCGTCCCCCCACCCGCCCCAGTGGAAGTTAGTGTTAAATTCAGGCTTGGTCCAGAAAGCTCCATTGGGCCAGGGAGCAAGGGACCAACACACACATACCTACCACTGATGATGTTACCTAGTTGGGTAATGAAACGTCTGCAAGAAAACAAGCAAGCTCAGAGACCATCAAGGACCCCACAGGTCTCCTTTTCCTCCTCCTCCTCTCCGCAAGGCCCCTCCCTTCTAGCCCTGATGATGTTACCTAGTTTGGGTCATGAAAAATCTGCAAGAAAACAACCCAGCTCAGAGAGCATCAAGGACCCTACTGTCGCCTGATTTCCTTCCTTCCTTCCTTCCTTCCTTCCTTTCCTTCCTTCCTTCCTTCCTTCCTTCCTTCCTTCCTTCACTCATTGATTCTTTTTCTCTCTTCTATCCTCTCCTTCCTTCCTTCCATCCTTCCACCCTTCACTCAAGGACCCCACTGTCACCTGTTTTCCTTCCTTCCTTCCTTCACTCATTGATTCTTTTTCTCTCTTCTATCCTCTCCTCTCCTTCCTTCCTTCCATCCTTTCACCCTTCACTCATTGATTCTTTTTCTTTTCTATCCTTCCTTCCTTCCTTCTTCTTTCCACCCTTCACTCATTGATTCTTTTTCTCTCTTCTATCCTCTCCTTCCTTCCTTCCACCCTTCACTCAAGGACCCCACTGTCGCCTGTTTTCCTTCCTTCCACCCTTCACTCATTGATTCTTTTTCTTTTCTATCGTCTTCCTTCCTTCCTTCCTTCCTCCCACCCTTCACTCATTGATTCTTTTTGTCTTTTTTATCCTCTCCTTCCTTCCTTCCTTCCTTCCTTTCCTTCCATCCTTCCACTCATCGATTCTTTTTCTCTTTTCTATCCTCTCCTTCCTCCCTCCCTCTCCTCTCTGCAAACTCACCTCCCTTCTAACACTATATGAGGTTACCTAGTTGGGTCATGAAACGTCTGCAAGAAAACCACCCAGCTCTGAGACCTCCGAGGACCCCTCCTCTTCCTCCTCTTCCTCACAAACCCCCCTCCCTTCTAGCACTGATGACGTTACCTAGTTTGGGTCATGAAACGTCTGCAGGAAAATGATCAAGCTTGTTTTGGATAAAGATATACAGAAAGCCTTCGATCCAATTCCAGACCAAAGATATATATATATATCCTCAGGGCTGGAGAACTAATAAAGAGTGGATTTCCTCTGTTTTCCCAAAGTTTCAGTCTGCCTATCCCTAAAATATCAGGACTGTGACTGGAAGGGGAAGTGACGGGTTCTTTTTTCCCTGCGAAGATTGAGGGAGGCTGGATGGACTGATTGCACTTAATTGGAAACCACTTCTATTGATGGGAAGATTAGACCAATCTTGGAGACTGAGTCTATTATATTTAATTAGGCAACAATTGAGGAGAGATGGCATTAAGAAACGAATGTGGATATTTGATCCAGGATGAGCTGTTTTAAACTTTTGGAATGATTTGGGAGAGAGAAAATGCTGCGAGGGGATTAGAACTCTCTACTCGTTAACAGAGAGTTTAATGTTGTTTTGTTTTAGCATTACTATTCTTCCTGTTAACTATTTTGTCACTAGTATACATGTCGATCCCTTGAAAATAGATTTATTAGTTTAAAATTTTTAGGGGGGGGCCTGTTTCATAAGGGGTGGGGAACCCCTTGTAGTAATGTATTAACAAGTATTAATGTAGTAATATATTAACAAGTATTCAGTTGGAGGGGGTGATAATATGTGTGTATGTATGACGCACTTTTAGATTCTTTTGTGTGTGTTTTTCTTTTTGGTCCTTCTTTTGGATTTTTTTTTGGGGGGTGGGCTTGTATTTTTATTTATTTATTTATTTATTTTTATTTATATTTGAATTTATATCCCGCCCTTCTCCCGTAGGACTCAGGGCGGCTGACAATCTATTTAAAATACATACAAAACAATACAAATTTAAAATTAATTAAAAAGAATATTAAATATTTGTCGAATTTAAAATATAATTAAAACCCCCCTAAAAATTACCCTAGGCCAGTCC